TGTAACCGGCACCATGTTCTCTGAGGCTGCCTTCCTCGTGAAGGTGAACCTCACTGAGAGCAACAATGTCAATGTTAAGACGAGCCAGTTCATGGGCGATTAGGGCAGAACGACGCTCAGGACGTCCACTATCCGCAGAATCGAGCCTGGTTCTGATATTCCAGCATGCTAGAGTTAATTTAGGTACACCTTTGGAGGCAGGTGCATGCCTTTGTCTTTTGATCTTTGTGCGACCGCATTGGAAGAAGATGCCCGTTGGCCTGCTGTTAACCAACTGGGTGAAAGTGGAGATGAGCTTTGTTTAGGCCACCTTTTCTAGGCCCCTCTCCGAGTGGAGCAAGCAGTGCTGTCCTTGAAAAGGCTGCTTGGTCGTTCAGGGTGCTGCCCCAAGAGACTGTCATCTCCGGTCAGTCTCAAATGACCAATATCCTGAACCGCCTGCACGCAGGGTTGGGTCTGCAGCTTCCAGTGCACCTTTCACCTGCCGTTTTGACCCTTGCCCATCGCTACAGGGCTTTTTGCATGTGGGTAAAGCCTTCAAGCCTGTGCAATGGATTTTTTAGGTGAGATGCAGTATGCGTGGAACTGAACCCACCCTTTAATCCTAAGGTTCATCTGCCAGGGCCGAGCGAGCTTGGACGGTGGCAGCAAGGTCCTCAGGACGTAAGTTTAATTAGAGTGCCCTTCTCTTAGATGGATGGCCTTACAGAGCTAAGCGAGCTCCATCTGCCCAGGTTTGGGATTAGAGTTGTCCTTCTCCTAGGATGACTGCCAGAAGGCTAACGAGCTCATCCTGCCCAAGGATGTATTGTATCTTACTCTACGGTTTTGACCTGTCTGGCATGGGCAACCCTACCGAAGGCATGTACCACTGCCAGCATAGCTCGCAACTGCATAGGATTACACAGGCTACGCTCCTACTATTAAAACGATTAGGGCAAGTCTTACACTTCCTACTTTTCTGCCACCTGTCTATATTCAGTCCCAGGGAAACACCCAGGGAAACACCCTTTGTCCTGACCACCCTTTCAGGATGTAATGAATATATCCAAAACATACCAAACCTGGGCAGTAGCCGCAGGTGAGCCAAAAACAAACAAACGAACAAAACTGTTCTGGCCACCATACCCACCTAGGGCTCAAGTACCTCTCCAGGCCCGAGCACGGCCGAGATCCCTAACCCCCAGAGGAAACCATTATCCACCCTGACCTTATCCTCCCCCCACCGTGTTACCACATATCTTCCCACACACCGCTTACCCGCCCAGCCTCCAGTCCGAGGACACCCACAGCCCGCCCGGTACCCTTTCCCTCCCCCGCCCCCTCCCCCCTCCCCCAAACCAGACCGGCAAACTTCTATGTCCTCCGAGGCTTCCACTCTCCTCTCTCTCTCCTTTCTCACGAGAGCACAAAGCCACGCCAGCGAAGCTCCCTCTCCCCTTTCCCCGCTGGGGGTGGCCCCGGGCTGCGCAGGCCCGACGGGGGGGCGGCCCCACGGAGCCGTGTGGGCTTCCGGGTGGGGGTGCTGGACCCCCGTGGAGCTACGCGGGCTTCTGGGTCTAGTAAATTGTAACTGACTTGTAATCTCTCTTGAGTTGGGTTCATTTCTCCCGCCAGTTTACTTATAAACCAGCACACAAGCCTTCATGCAAGATTTTGTTTTCAGATTTGAGTCAGCTCAAAAAAAAAAATGTATTTAACAAATAATAAAAACAAAAAGACCAAAAACAGCCAGGTTATTTATTATCTGAAGCAGCTTAGCTGTTGAACTAATTCCACTAGAGGTGCAGAAGGAATTATATATGAAGAACTTTGCAGACTTAGTGGATTCACATAGTGGTATATAGGTACATTGGGCTAAAATGTGCTGACTGTGGTCTAGGCGTGATCCTCCCCTGAGATCTGCCATTGTGTGTCCACAGGCTTCAGCTGCAGCAATGCTCCATTTTCCAGCTTGAAGTAACTTTTGCATTCGTTTGACCAGCCCTTTCAAACTGCTGCACTGGGGGTTCATGCCTACAGCACTTAATGTGTCTGTGGAGACTCTGGAAGAATAGTATGCTGGTCTTTGAGACCTCTGGCTCCTGTCACATCCTTGACCAGAAGCATAATTCTGAGCAGATGGAGGGTTCAATCAGTTAAAAACTTTCAACATCAAGCTACACTTGCACAGTGTAGTAGTAGAGAAAAAAAGCTTGTTATGCTAATCTTTCCAATGCTGGCCCTCTTGGTCTCTGCAAGGGGTTCATAGGTTCTATTGAAATAGGAAGATTTGAGCATCTAATGAAATCAAGGAACAAAATGTTAATGACATTTTATGGAATTCATTAAACTTGGTAATAAACGTTGCGTGCAACATCCTCTCTCATCCAGAATGAAATGTTGAAAACACAAGTGTCTTTAAATACCCTAATATCCTAGATGGTGCTAATGAAAACCTCTCTGCTGCAGATGTAGTCATGCCTGCTGGAACGCACTGGGAAGCCGGTGCTAATGGCTAAGTTATGTGCAGCACTGTGTGTTGTTAAAGAACCTGCTTGTCTCTTGGCCTGGCAGCTGCAGTGTATTATTAGTGGGCCTGTTGCCTGGCTTTCCTGGAGCACAATAACAGATGATGGAAGAGAAGTAAACTTCTTTCTCCGTATCCCAACCACTGACCTTCTGTTGCAGCTTAAGGTATTGAGGATCTGTCTTTTCACAGAAAGCAATTTTTTTTAAAAAAATCAACAGCTAGTATTTGATGAACTGCAGAGTGAATCCCTGAGTGATCAAGGTGAAAGAACTTTTGGGCAGGATGGAGTTGGGCTTGTACTTGTAGCTCATTGCTACCCCTGCACTGTCCAGCAAGTGCAAAATACAGTATGCACTGTTCTATACAAAAGTGCTGTTGTTTTCCTATTATGCAAATAGCAAACACTGCAAGTTATACAGGCCAAAAAATTATTTCAATTTACCCCTTGGCACGCTTTGTTCTTCATTTGGTGCTATATGCATTCATATTAATAATAATTTTTAAAAAGGCTACATCCACATGGTTCCATATTAAAAAGAAGCTTGAAACAATGTCAGAATATATGTGCTATACTCTAGTTTGCAGCAGTTCTCCTTCTACTGAAGTTTACCTTCTATCACAATAAGAATATATTACAAAATACACTTAATATTGAGCTGAAGGACTTTCAAGTTTGCAGTTTGAAAATATTGATTGTGAACAGTTTGGTGCCTAGGAAGCAATTTAACAACAGCATCAGTGCTGTGAAGAGCACCCAATAAATACATGTCAGGATGGCTTATTGCATGCTGCTTTGCAGAATAAATTAAGAAATAAACTGTGTAAGATGGGAGATACCACCCAGCAAGAGCTGATTTCAGAAATGAAGGCTAATGGCTGCCTTTGTATTACTGGGCTTTGTAAACATCATTGTATTTATCTAACAGATAGCATTCTGCATGTGTGCAGCTTTTGGTGAAGGGTGCTGACTAATTGTAAGGAGTTAAAGAGCACAGGTGCCCATCTCAAACACTGTTACGGCTACAGAAGGAACTTGCTGTAAAATAAGCCTCTACAGTGGGAAGTTGAGATAAGCACAGAAGGGAGGAATTTGTGACAGGAAGGCAGTAATTCCAGGCCTGGGAGAGGTTAGGTCTGGTTAGCACATCCTGGTTAACGCAAGTGGACAATTATTCTCACTGTGTCAAATGGTGTTAAAAGAAGAAATTGCTCATACACATATCACCAGTCAAACAAAGATCACCCCAAGTTATGGGACACATGGCATCTGCGACCACCAACAAACACTGAAGCGCCCCCAAACTAATTTCGGGGGCCTTCCACCAGAGGACTGTGCATGACCCATAGTGTTGCACCAGACAGTGTAAAACTCCCATCCCCAGGGAAGGTAGCTGGGTGTTCCCACCTGAACCCATTAAATTTTGCTTCACGGGCTTTCCCCATCTTGGAGGGATTGAGGCATGTGACCGTCACTTGGACCAACAGACATCCAAATTGCAACAATGAAGTCTAGTCACTGGACCCACAGGTGGTGATAGCCTTCCTCTCCACTATCTACTCTTATCCTTTCTTTCTCTTTTTTTCTTTTCCTTAGATATTTTCTTAAGTGATATCTGTCTTGATACCCTCTCACACACTATCCTTCTGGACAAAACATCCAGCATACAGCTGGATGAGCATGTTACATGATGGGTGAGCAACTGGCAAAGTTGTTATAGTGACTGGGGTGACATCAGGCTGGTGATGAGCCACTAGTGAGGCTCTACAGGGCTCCATGTTCAGCCCAGTTCTCTTCAACATCTTCATAAATGACTTGGACACAGGACTCAAAGGAACGCTAAGTAAGTTTGCTGATGACACTAAATTGGGAGGAGCTGTCGACTCTGGCGAGGGCAGAGAGGCTCTGCAGAGAGACCTCGACAAAATAGAGAGATGGTCAATCACCAACTGTGTGAAGTTTAACAAGGGCAAGTGCCAGATTCTGCACCTGGGATGGGGTAGCCTTGTCTGTGTTGTATAGACTGGGGCATGAGGGGTATCAACGGTGGGAGTGGAAAGTTTAGACAAAGTTATTAAAAAGTAAAGCCTTGTCAGTGATTTTCAAGGCACAGAAAGGATTCCCTTGCTTTCTAAACCCCTTCTCAGAGAGGAGTCTAGGTGCAGCTAAACTCAATCTTAGCCTCGGATTATATTAATGGTTTAAATTTAAGGAACTATAGAGGTATGATTAAACAACTTTTGTCCCAGGGGTTTTAATTATTGGCAAAATGAGAATATTTATATAAAATGAATAATTTATTTTATACAAATCATCAGACAGATCTTAATCAAAACTATTTACTACACGATATAAACACTAAAAATCTACTAGTAGAGTATAATATAGCATAAAGTAGTACTGTGCACCGTAACAAAGAAATTATTGAAGCAGTTATATTAAAGCTAGTGAAAAGAAATAATTATTAAGTTGAAGTCTGATGTAACTCACCCATACCAATGCTCATGGGGCGATCTCTTTCTCTCAACCTCGAGGAGTGACCTTGGAGGGCATCCCCAGCCAAGGGAGGAATCTCCACACATACACCTCAAGAAGGGCTGTGTTAGAAGAATCTGACTGTACGAGAGGGGACTGGACTTGACCACTTGCCTGTGGTCGATATGTAGTAAGTACTTGCCAATCAATTTGCAGAATGCTGCTTATTCTTTAGTTATAAAATGTGGTCCTCAGTCCAAGGAGATGATGTCAGGTACTTTGAACTTGGGGATAATTTCATTAAGTAGTACTTTGACAACTTGTCAAGCCCCAGGAAAGAAAGCCTGGAAGCTTTGGTTTTCTGGTGCAGTTGGTAAGCCAGCCTGGGCACTCCAGGGTCAGCAAGCCGACATGCCTAGTTTGCATATGTGATTCATTAATGTGTGTAATTAGGTATTGATTAGCTGATTCAGATATGTGAATGATTGTTATGCTTAATTAGGTGTTAATTGGTGGTTCTCCCCCAAATTGCTGGTCTACCTCCCAAAATTGAATACAGATGAAGACTCCTCCCAGGCAAAAGGGGCCAGGACAGAAAGGTCTTGCTGCCCGTGGAGTGCCCTGGGAGGCCCATCAACTGCACCTGAGACACCCAGGCTATGGGCTTTCTTCGCTGGGTCAAAGGGCTCCCGATATCAGGGAGGCTGCTTGTTTCTTGTGCCGTGTTATGCATTTCTCCATGAAGAACAAGCTTTCAGATTCCTGGTTTATACCTATTATAAATTCAACTCTTAATTGCCCTCACTTCCCAGCTAAGCTCAGGAGCAACAGCTGCCAGCGGGTCTCTTTTTTTTGCAGTTACACAGCACAGAAGCATTACTACCTGCCCAAGGACCCCTCTGCCCCCTCCCGCCTTCAATATAAAAGCCACTAGAGGGACAGGGATGTTTGTCACCTCTGGCATCATGATTAAAAAGTCTTGGCATTACTCTGGCAGGTCAGCATTCTCCAGCTCTGGTACCCTGTTATACAGGTAAGGCCTCTCAGCCAACCAAAAACTCATAGCAAGTCCAAAATATCTCTCAAAGAGTGAAGGGAAACATCTGGAAAAGGCTGGAGGCGAAGGGAAACTGAGGCACAATGTTTTAACTACAACGTGATCAGCACAGTGAGATCCAGCAGAAAAGAAGGTTTTAAATCTCTTAGAGGCTTAATCCTGGAGCAGGATAAACCAGGCTCCGCTGCCCAGCTTTGTAACCCCAAAAACTCAAGCTCTCCCTTCTCCGTGTATATTTTGAAGCAAACCTTGGAGGCAGAAACAGTTTATAAGACACATTTTGCTTCCAAAAAAAACCCAAACCTGCTTCAGCATTTATTCACACCCACCTGGCACATGATACCAGGTACTGGGGCTTATCTAACATAAGTATTTACACCATAATACACTAAAATAGGGGCGGCAGCGCCCAGACCGTGAGGGGCACAGCACAACCTGCACATAAGCAGCTCCAGCACCCAAACCCACCCTTGGATGTGCAGGAATTTCAGGGATGTACCACACCAGCATCACAGCTCTGCTTCCCAGAGGATTCAGGGCGCAAAGAACCCCTTTGAAAGCCTAAACCCACCACCCTTTGGGAAAAAAAGACCAGGAAACCTTTGATTCAAATGCAAAGGTTTTGATTCAAAAATAAGTTTTTTATTAAACAAAGTTTTCTTTGCTACCTTATCCTTCTGTACCACTCACATACAGCTAAAATACACTCTCAAAAATTACGTATTTGGGGCAATTATTATAGCATTGCAAAATTCTTCACTACAAATGAGCAATTTCACATCCTGCTCCCCATCCCGGGCACCTGTAGCTCCCAAATCCCATCCAATCCCCACTCCCATGGGCCGGAGCAACTTCTTCCTCCTGTTTGTAGTTTATATTTTGCTCTAAATACAAACCCAAGAGCCACAACCACACACAGAGACAAAGCAGAAAATCCCTGGCAGGTTTGTTTAAGTTGTAGCCAAGGAGTTTCTCAGCACCAAACACAAACATCATCATTAAGAACAATCAAAATTTGCAGTAACACCTTCCCAAAACTCCTCCAGCAATAGTAGAAAAAGACATTATTTTCCTTTATTTAGTTTTAATAAATTTTAGCTGAACAATAGTTTTTTTACGGGGTTGATAATAGTTTTCGGGTTTCCTTTATTTTAGTTTTAACACATTCATAATAAATTTTAATGAATTAAATAAATTTATTTTTTAAATTTTATTTCTCATCCATATGAATAATAACAATAAGGATAAATAAAAGATGAATTGATTGCGTTTTTACACTTTTCCTAACGCATCTAAAATAAAACGTGTGGAGGTGGAAACTTATTTCGCGCTGCTGCGAAGTCTTAAAAAATTATTTTTTTTAATTTTTCATTTTTAAATCTCAACGACTCGGTTACGAGAACTCCCGTGCGTCCTCCGCGCCGCCAGGGGGCGCTGTAGGGAGCGCCGGGACGGAAGCGGAAGTAGCGGACGGTGCCGCCGGTGGGCCCGGGGCGGTGAGTCGGGGCCGTGAGTCGGGGCCGTGAGTCGGGGCCAGGGGTCTCGATGTGGCGGTGTCGGCTTGGCAGCGCCGGGGCTGTGGGGTTTTATGTTGTCGGTACCGGCTGAAGGGGCCTGGGCGGTGGGGGCCTGAGGAGCTCCGGGGTCCGGTGAAGGGACCGGTCTGGGGGTCCTTGACAAGCCCCAGTGAGGGTCCCGGGTGGTTGAGCCCTGGTACCCAGTCAGGGGGCCTGGACTGTTGTGTTCCATGAGCCCCAGTGAAGAGCCCGGGCTGGGGCTCCCTGACGATCTCCAGTGCCTGCTGAGCGTCCTGCTCAGTTGAGCCCCAGTACCTCCTCAAGGAGCGCGAGCTGGGGGGGGTCCCTGACGAGAGCCGGTACGGGGTCGAGCTGTGCCAAGCCCTATCTCTCGTTGACCAGCCCGGGTGTTTGGCGCTTGGCAGCCCATCTGCCCACCCCACCATGCCGGGCCAGGGCCTCTCGGGGTCCCGCCGGCCGCTGCTGGCCCTGGTGGTCGCGCTGGGCTGGCTGCTGGCCCTGCAGCTGCTGCTGGACCTGCGGGCGCTGGGGCTGCTGTGCGGGGCCCTGGCGGTGCTGGGGGGCTGGCTGGGTCCCCCGGCCCTGGTTCCCCGCGGCCGCCGGCTGCGCCTGGAGCGCTTCGTGAGCTCCCTGCGGGCCCCGCCCGGCTGCCCCGCGGACGAGGCGCGGCTGGAGCGGGAGATCGCCAGCACCATCCGTAAGGTGGTGCGGGATTTCGTGGCCTCGTGGTACCGCACGGTGAGCAGGGAGCCGGCCTTCGAGGCCGAGGTGGAGAGGGCCATGGTGGGCCTGGCTGCGGAGCTGCGGCGGCGCATGGCGCGGGTAGACCGCCGAGCCCTGGCCCGCCGCCTGCTTCTGCTCTGCGGGCAACACCTCCAGAGCTTCCTGCGGGCACGGGACGCCCTGAGGGACGACCCCAAAGGCGGTGGGACGCTGTGGCAGGAGTACAGCCGGCTGGCAGGGCCGCATCCTGCCCTGCTCAGCCCCGCGGCCGAGGTCGGATGTGCCCGCGCGGCCGTGGAGACGCTGCTGCAGGCGTTGGTGCCGTGGCCACACCTGGAAACGCGGACGGGACGCTTCGTGGTGGTGGAGCTGGTGGCCTGCAATGTGCTGCTGCCGGCCGTCAAGAAGATGTCTGATCCCGACTGGATCAATCTGCTGCTCATTGGGATGTTCTCCAAGAAGCCCCGCGGTGGGAAGCCCCACACTGCACCCCCAGTGCCAGATTCCTTGCCCTTCCCAGCACAGATGGATACGGCTCCTGCCGGGCTACCCCCCTCCCCGAGGGCTGTGGAGGGGCTCAGGAGAGAGGCAGGGACTGCTGGCGAGGAGGGAGAGGAGATAAGGAGGTCGTGCCACACAGAGGAGCCTTTCCTGCGCCCCCAAGCCCTGGGATCCCTCTTCCCCTGCGAGGGTTTGGAGCTGGAATCCTCCACGCCCAGTGTGGGCCAGGACACGGACCTGCTGGCACCATCCCCCACTGGGGAGCTCCTTGATGAGCCCCCCCAGGACCCCTCTGTGCCAGAGGGCCTGGCCTCTTTGGAATATGGAACAGGAGACCTGGAGGAGGGCCCTGCCCCCAGCTCAGATGTTGGGCTGCTTTCCACCTCTGCCTTGAGCTCCTGCCCTGACATCCAGATTGAGCCGGTGGTGGAGAAGGAGGAGGAAAGCCCAGCAGTCCCCAGGAAGTTCTCCTCGCAGAGACCCTCTCTTCTGGGGAGAGATCTGGGGGCAGCAGAGGGCCTACCACATATCCCCCCAGAGGCCGGGCAGTCCCTGCCCCTGCTCTCATCCTCTCCAACAGCTTCCATGAGCACCTTCAGCTTTGAGCCCCTGAGCAGCCCTGACGGGCCGGTCATGATCCAGAGCCTGCGGATAACTGGGACCATCACTGCCCGGGAGCACAGTGGGACTGGCTTCCACCCATATACCCTGTACACTGTCAAGGTAAGGGCTCCCCTGGCATTCACCTCTTTTCCCAAATCCCTGCCCTGACTGGAGCACTGGTTGGTGTTTGGAGGTGAGGATTTGCTCTGTGAGTGTCTCCACAACAAATTTTGTCTGGCAGTGAGGGAATATCAGGCACAGGGTGTGGGACAGGAGTTCCCACTTTTAGCCAAGGGTCATATGAGGCTGGTAGAGTCTTTTGTGTTCTGTTTTTGCCAGTTGTTCCATTGGGATGGGTTCCTTCACCTTCAGGGAAGGGTTAATGTGAGGATGGAAGGGTCCTGGGAATTTTGGGGCCAGCAGCGCATTGGGATTGTTTTGGGAATGTGTAAGGATTATTCCTGTTGCCTTCCTCCTCAGTATGAGACAGTCCTGGAGGGTGAGGGTGCAGGGAGCCTTCAGCAGGTGGCTTATCACACCGTGAACCGCCGCTACCGGGAGTTCCTCAACCTGCAGACCCGGCTGGAGGAGAAACCGGAGCTCCGCAAG